CCTCTTGAATTTAATTTATTTACTTTTTTGAGCTGAAAATTTTAATTTATTTACTTACTTTGTATTTATTTATATTTATAATTCTTATATTTCTTCCTTTTTTTGTAATTGTATGTATCGTATTTAATCATAATTTGTCAAACATCCACTTTCTTTATCTCAAAATTAAATCGAAAAGATTCTAAATTTTTTATTTTCTTAAAAATAAATAATAATTACCAAATTCATCATGGTAGTTTTTAAAACCACTAGTTTAATTATGATAGTCACATGTGGTGTTATCTTGTCCTTTGGATTACAGATAAAGGGTGGTATTAGAGAAATTGGTTCCTCCCCATTTACCACCTAACTGAAGAAATCTGAATACATAATTTTTTCATATATGTAAATAAAATAGGTAAAGGTGAAAAAGAACCCAATTAACTTTTCTTCTCTAAACAATACTATAAACAAATAAACCATTAAAACATTTACATTGACTTATAGTCATATATTTTTAATTGCGTCTGATACCAAATAGCTAAACTAAAGAAGGGAAATAATGATGACAAAATGTGATGCAATATGATCAATTAGTTGTTCATTTTATTTTTCTTTATCCAAAGAAATAGATATTTTTTAGATCCGAAATTTCAATAGTATAAATTTTTTAGCGTAAGATACCTGCACTAAGGTAATATTACTGCCTATTATAATTGTTAATTCATGCTATTGATTATATTTAAATTGTTGCTAGTTGATAAAATTTGCATGAAGTACATATATTTCCATAGACAAGTATCAACTTTCACTATATTATTTTCATATTGTATCAGTAATGTTGTTAACATGTAGTTGTTTATCATAGTTTGCCCATTTTTTTTATCAATGACAGCATGTTTTTTAGATAAATATAACAAAATGCTATAAAGTGGGGCAGATTGTTGTTAAGTCCGCACAGTTAGAAATATTACCGATTTCTTCTTACAAATTTAGTTATTTGAAGAATAAAGTTTAAGATATGCATTACTTTCTTTTTTTCATTTAGAGATGTTCATCAGTTGGGAAAAAAATTTTTAAAAATGCTTTCGATTTTCAAAACTATATTTTTATTAAAAATATACTTTTTGGAGGTGATGAAGAAGTTTCAAAAAAAAATGATTTATCATTTTAAAATATCTTCTTCTATAAAATAATTTCCGTAATATAATTATTTTAATTGAGAACGAAACAAAAAAAGTGATCAGCACGATATAATGTTTTGTTACATGTTTTCTTTATTGTAAGTGTTTCTATGCTTGTTTAGCTTGAATTTGTCGTGTGCCAAAAACTAAGTAATTCAATACTCAAGAACGATACAGCATATGATTTCCATTTTCCCTTACATGAGTTTCAAACTAAAAACATTGGCATGCTTCCTTAAAAGAATTATGAAATAGGGATAAAATAAATGTCTGCTACATTTTCAGTGAGGAATGAAATTTCGTAAGAAAAACTTGCACATGCATTAAATGCTAACTTGTGACTTGCGAGATGCATCTGCTCAAATTTGTAAGGATAATAAAAGAATGGTTCTTACAAATTAAACATTGGACTTGAAATGCAAATTAAAAGAATACGTTTAATTTGCTGCAAAAATTGAAAAATAGGTTTAATTTTCTGCAAAAAAGTAATATTAATTCGAATTGCGGTGAGCGTGGATCGAACACGCGACCTTCAGATCTTCAGTCTGACGCTCTCCCAACTGAGCTATCCCCGCAGTTTATTTTAATCTCTTCAACTTTTAAACTATTTCGTTTTTCCCAAAAAAGATTTTTTGTCTCACATTCCGAAAAACAGAATTGCGTTAATGCTGATTCCTAGATCGCCTTTGGCACGCAAAAGCCAATTTTTCCACTGATAGTAAAGAGGAGAAAAAAGGGTTTTACTACTTAAGTAGTCGCTCGCATACAACTTTAATATATGGCTCCAATCCATCCCAATTAAATTTGGTAAGCTGCTAGTATTTTGCTAATACGTTTCTTGGAGCAAAAATTATAATGACTATATATTGATATGAAAACGATAGTTAAAAGCATTATGTGTATAGATGTTTGCAATTATTGTATAATTTAAATTTTCTACTGGTAAAGTCTATAATATATAATTTATTAATTTATATATATATATATAATTATATGTGCCCCTCATAATCCCACATGAAAAACAATCCTTGACCTGTCCCCGTATCTATTTATAGAAATCGTCTAATCATGATACTCATAAGTTTAACGTGAAATGGCATGTAGATAAGTATTTAGATAAATGGCGTGGATGGACAAATGTGTATTTTGTTAGGGCGTACAACTAAGGTATTTACACATTGGAATTGCTTGTTTGGTACATGGAAATGAATAAGAATAGAATGTCAATTCTCATTTCTCATTTCTTTTAAGGGTCTGATCGTTTGCCTTAAAAAAATGAAAAATCAAAGAAATAGAAAACTATTTCTAAGAAGAATTATTTTGGGAGTGTTTGGTTTGCTAAAAAAAGAAGGAAATCAAAGAAATGAAGATAAGATGAGATGAGTTGTCATCTTATTATAGGATGATGTGAGTGTTTTTTTAAGAAAACTTATTTTGAGATTTCTTGGTTGGCGAAAAAAATAAGGAAATGAATTATAAGAAACATATTTCTTGTAATAGGTTGTTTTCTTTTGTTTGGTTATTTCTTAAAAATAAGAAAATAGATGAGATGAGATGAGTTATCATTATATTATTGGATGATGTGACCCGCATTTAAGGGAATTATTTTCCTAGCTTTTTGAGAGGAAAACAAAGAAATAAAATATTAATGAGATGAGATGAGTTGTCACAATCTTATTGGATGATGTGAGTGATTTTTAAATATGAGATGAGATGAGTTGGGTGATGTTGTGGATGAAAATAATATTTTATTAGATGTGGTGGATGTGATGGATAAGTTGTTGAATGAAAATAATATTTTATTAGATATGGTGGATGAGTTGTTGGATAAAAATAATATTTTATTAGATGTTGTGGGTGAGTTTTAGGGATGGAAATGTGTGAAATTGTACTTTTTGAGATTTTTTGGTTTTTTTTTTTTTTTTTTGGTTTTTTAGGAAATAACCGAACAGACCCTAAACAAACACAACTTCATTTTGAAAGCAAAAGTACTCATTTCTACTTGAAATGGTAAGGAATGAGCATTTTCACTTAAGTGAAAAAAAAACATAGCTTTCAAACATGTACATTCCCGTATTATTTTTCTAAATTGCACCTAAACGTGAGAATGAAAAGGAGTATTTCATTCCTATACTAATTTCATTATATTCTTCGCTCTGTTCCATTCTCGCTCCACTCGATTCCTACGTATCAAACGAGACTCGTGTCAAGTAGTTGGTAAGTGCCAGATTCGGGTACAGATATAACGAATTTAAACCTGCATACAACAACAACAACAACAACCAAACATTTATCCCAAATGTTTAAGGTTGGCTACATGAATCCTATTTTTCCATTCCATTATGTTACGAGCAATTTCTTCTGTTACGTTAGTCTTAATCATATCCTTCTTAATTGTTTCTAACCAAGTCATTTTAGGTCAATCTCTATATCGCCTAACCCCATTAACTCTAATATTATTATTTTTCCTAATCGGTGCACTAAGGGGTCTTCTTTGTACATGACCAAACCATCTTAATCTATTCTCTCTCATTTTATCCTCAATAGGCGCAACCTCTAATTTACTACGGATGCACTCATTTCTTATCCTATCTTTTAATGTATACCACAAGACCATCGTAATATTCTTATTTCTACTACACTTATTTTTTGAACATGTTGTTTTTTAATTGCCCAACATTCTGACCCATAAAAACATAGTTGGTCTTATAACCGTTCTATAGATTTTGTACTTAGTTTTATTGATATTCTATGATCACCTAAGACTCCCGAAGCACTCCTCCATTTCAACCATCCCGATTTGATTCGATGCACAACATCATCCTCTATCTCATCATCATGCTTAATGATATATCCTAAATAGCGAAAATGATTAGTTTTAGGTATTTTTTGGCCATCAATATGTACCATATCCTGTCTTTCTTTCCTACTTTTACTAAAAATGCATTCCATATATTTTGTTTTTGTTCTACTAATTCTAAAACATTTAGGGGGTGTTTGGTTCAATTTCTAGAAATTATAGGAAATGTTTTCCACCTAAAATATGATTTCCTTGTATTTTTTAAAAAAATTATAGGAAAAGTTTTGAGAAATAAAAAAGTACCAATTTTCTTGTTTTTTGTATGTATTTTGCTTGTTTGGTTCAAAATAAGAAAATAGCTCATAACTTTATAGAAAATAACAAGATTTGGTAGGTTTTTAATTAAATATGGTATGTGTCAGATTTCTCTGGTGATTTCCTCTCATTTTGAGAGGAAATTGCTTTTTGTAAAATTTGGTAGGTTTTGATATTTTATAGAAAATATTTCTGTAAATTTTTTGTTGAACCAAACACAATTTACAGAAATATCTGAAAAACTTTTAATTACAAATTTGTCATAGTCAGATATTTTGAGAAAAGTTTTCTAAAAAAGTGTGCAACCAAACAACCCCTTAGACTCAAGAGCTTGTCTCCATCTTTCTACTTTAGAAATAACGTCTCTTCTAGTTTCATCAACTAATACTATATCATCAGCAAATAACATACACCATGAGATTTTCATCCTGAATGTGCTTAGCAAGTTGGTTCATAACTAATGCAAAAATATAAGGACGTAAAGCTGACTCTTGGTGTAAACTTATGATAATAGAAAATGGTTTAGTCTCTCATTCATTAGTTCCTACTCTAGTTGTTATTCTATCATATATGTCTTTAATCACATCAATATATATACTAGGTACATGTTTTTTCTAACACACATCACATTACCTCTCTAGTTACTCTATCATAAGCTTTTTATAGATGGTTAAAAACCAAATTTAAACCCGCATCCGTTTAAAAAAATGGACGGCAGGATACGTACACCGAGCTCCGCTGACGAGGAAACAATTAGCATGCCCTCTTCGAGTTCTCCAACTCTCTACCAACGCATCGTCTCCCTCCTCGACAAATCCAAGTCCTTAACCCATCTCAAGCAAATCCAATCCTCCCTCATTATCTCAGGCCATGGCCAAAACCAGCTGCTCTCCTTCAAGCTGGTCCGCTTCTCCGCGCTTAACCTCACCGACCTCTCCTACGCCCGCCTCATCTTCGACTCCCTCCGCTCCCCCAACGTCTTCCTCTACACCGCTATGCTCACCGCCTACTCCCTCCACTCTCACTCCTCCGCCCTCAATCTCTTCGCCCAAATGCTCCAGCTTGGAAAACCCAAGCCCAACGAGTTCATCTACCCGCTCGTCCTCAAATCCTGCTCTGATTGTTCGGATCTTATATTGATGAAATTGGTGCATACCCATGTTTCAAAATCTGGTTTTGATGCGTACTCGGTCATAAAGACGTCACTTTTGGACTCTTACGCGAGGTTTTCTGATTTGGGCACTGCCCGATCACTGTTCGATGAAATGCCTGACAGGAACGTGGTTTCTTGGACTGCTTTGATTTCTGGGTACGCGAGGGCTGGGAAGATGGGGAATGCAGTTGCACTGTTTGAGGAAATGCCCGAGAGAGATGTTCCTTCTTGGAATTCTATGGTTGCTGGTTTCGCACAAAATGGGATGTTTCCTGAGGCTGTTAAGATGTTTCAGAGGATGGTTATAAGCGGGGCGAGGCCAAATTCTACGACGGTATCTTGTGTTCTCTCGGCATGCGGGCATCTTGGCATGCTTCGCCTTGGGAAATTGGTTCATGGGTATGTCTTGAAAGTGCAAATTGGTTATAGTTCCTTTGTGTCCAATGCGCTCATTGATATGTATGGAAAATGCGGGAATGTTAAAGAAGCTAGGTGGGTTTTCGATACTTTGAGTGATAAGAGCTTGACCGCTTGGAATTCTATGATCAATTGCCTTGCACTCCAGGGGCATAGCAATAATGCGATTGAAACCTTTAAAGCGATGGAGATTAGTGGTTTGGTACCGGATGGAGTAACATTTGTTGGTCTTTTGAATGCTTGTACTCACGGAGGACTAGTCGATAGAGGGCTTCATTACCTTGAGTCCATGAAGCAAGACTATAAAATTGAGCCACAAATCGAGCATTATGGATGTGTTATAGACCTACTAGGTCGAGCGGGGAGGTTTAAAGAGGCAATGGAGTTTGTAAAGGATATGAGAATAGAGCCTGATGAGGTTGTCTGGGGGTCCTTGCTCAACGGCTGCAGGATTCATGGAGATAAGAATTTGGCTGAGTTTGCAATTAAGAAGTTGTTGGAGATGAATCCGGACAATGTCGGTTATGGTATCATGCTGGCAAATTTGTATAGTGAGAGCGGGAAGTGGGAGGAAGTGGGTAAGGTTAGGAAGATGTTGAAGGAGGGGGGAGGGAAGAAATTACCGGGGTGTAGTTGGATTGAGGCTGAAACTGAGTTTCATCAGTTTCATTCTGGTGATAAGCTTCATTGTGAATCCGAGGAGATACATAGAATTTTAGAGGTGTTGGCAGGAGTGATGGAAACGTGAGGAGGAGGTGAAGTTGATAGTTGCTAGAAAATTAATTCTAATTTAGCGCAATCAGTATAAGATACCAGTGCGTACCAGTACAATCAACAACTTCAAAAATTCCTGTTAAATACTTGTCGTCGCAGTTTCATTCCTCGCTACGTCGTTTTATAAGGAGGACCTTCTATAGGATTTTCCCTGCGTTAATTTCCTTGGTGCTCAGGCCAATCTGAATATGCTGCGCCTTTTAGTTGCTCAGCATCATGTTGCATCGTATCAGGCTGAAATTTTGTCCTCCCTCGTGGAGATATTCGTGTTGATTCTTGTTAACATACAAGTGATCCATTGACATCACTGGTATAGCCACTGTAGATATTCAACCATGAATTGTGTATTGTATATCAGGTTTTTTTTGCTCATACCTACAAATACATTTACTGGGCTTGTGATTCTGAGGGCCTCAGTTTGGGTGGACCGACGAGTAATTTCCTAGAACACTGCTATAATTCCGGCAATATTTTGATAAGGTAACTGCCAAACTACGGTCAAATTTCTTGTTTGGCTACTGTTCATTTTTTTTTCCGGGTAACAAGGGGAACCTGGTCAGTCCGCTCAACTTTAACTCCTTTGGAGTCTGCCAGCGGTCCGGGTTCGAATCTCACATTCATCCCACCTCTGCAAGGAGCTACCCTTAATACCGGTATTATTTATCTTTAGGATATCTTTATTTATTACTATATCATCATAGCATGAACTGTATATATTTTTTTCTCCATACAAGACGGATCAAATTTGCATAAAATATCCATTATATGATATATTTTGAGTAGGACTCCCTGCCTACATTTTACCTAAAAAAATAATAATACATTGAATGTGGATGATTGTGACGGAGAAGTAAACTCTTCACCGTTCTATGCACCGAGTAACAAGCTCCTTTTTTTGATGAAACGACGAAACCCGTGGTCCAATTTGGCAAGGATCAAACACATTATTACTTTATTATAAAAGAGATTCAGGGAACCATTCAATATCAAATACACACAATTTGCCCGTCACGGATTGCTTGCGGTCTTTTGATCTGCGTTTGCTATTTTCTTCTTTTAGTTAATTGTCACATTATTCTTCTACAAGTGGAGATACAGTTGACTGTTATGGAGGGGTGGCCATCACCTGTTTGTCCTCGTTTACTCACTGTGAAAGTGACCTCCTTGCAACTTGCACCCCTTCAAATTGGTATTTAAAAAAAAAAAACTCATTTTACCGCTTTGATATTTATAGCATCTTCAATAATATTTGGTTATTTAAAGTGGGTTTAAGTTAGCATGTATGTTTAATATATCGTCGGCGATATTTTTTAAGGCGGGAAATTTTCATCTCACCCCCTAGCCTCTTAAAAGTACACAATAAAATTTCTTCTAAGATCGATGGCATAAAAAAAGATACTAACGTTCGCCGTAAACTCTATTTTTGGAATACAAAGAATATCATGAACTTACGCATGAAATTATTATGTTTTGAAAAAAACCAACTACTTAACAAATAGCTTAAATAACACAGTAATCAATATATTGGCTCCATTGGTCAGAGGTTGAAGGGGGAGGAGACTCTATTCATTAGAGAGAAAGAGAGGTTGAAAGATGGATGACTAAAAGAAATTTGAATTTGGAAAGAAGATGAAGAAGAGTGTAAAGTACAAACTTTAAGAGGTCAGGAAATGAGAAGAAATTCTCCGGTTGGAAAAATTAATGCCAATGTCATTTCAAACATATTCGTTAACTTAAATTCACTTTAAATAGCCAAATATCAGAGACACCTTAAATATCAAAACGATAAATTTGTTTTTTTTAATATCAATTTGATAGTTTAGCCTTTTATTTTCTAGATATTACGGGCCTCTGTAATCTCTCTCGTTAACTTAAATTCACTTTAGATGAAATTACCAATTTGCCCCATGTTTCTCACATGTAACGTTGAAAACCATCCGTTCAGAACCGCATGTTTGTCACATGTAAAGCTCAAGGCTGTCAGAACTATCCACTCGCATATGAGCGGTTTTGAGAGAACTTGACTCATGAATGATCATAGTCTCGATTCTTTATGGTTATTATAATAGAAAATTCTCTTACATCTCGTTTGGTACGCGGAAATGGAATCAAGTGAGAATGAAATGAATGTTGGAATGGAATGTTCACACACATTCTCATGTTTGGGTGCGATTAGAAAATTAAATATGAATATCTTTAATAAGGGCATATCATGTATTTATTATATTATTTTTATTCTCACTTAAGTGAGAATATCAATTCTTTGATAACTTATTGAGAATAACAATTCTCATGTCAAGTGGGGATTAATGAGTAGTGGGAATGACATTTCTAACATCCAAAAGCACATCATGTTTGGTGAGCATAAGCCCCGTTTGGATAATGGAAGTATTAGAAGTAAGAAGTAGGTTATAGAAGTAACTTTCAAAGCTATGAAGTAGGAAGTAGTGAAAATAGCATTTTTTTTGTTTGTTTCATATATTTTTAGAAGTAATAGAAGTTGAACTTCTTCCTCTTCATTTACTTTTTTTGTTTGGATAACATTTGAAAATATTACTAGGAAGTAATTTTATCATTGAAAAGTTGTTAGAAGTAACTAATAAAGGAAATATTAATAAAAAAAATATTTATGTCCTAATTAATATGCATTTCAACTACTTCCGAGCTACTTCTGGGTATTGAGATTTGGAAAAATATTTTAGAAGTAAGGATGACACGTAGACGCCACATAAGCATTTAGGAAAGTATTGGAAGTAAGTTTTTCAGAGAACCAAACATATTTTTTTGCTTGGAAGTAGCAGAAGTAGCTTTTATTTCTTTTACTTCAGCTACTTCACAATTACTTTCATGCAAACAAACAGGCCCTAAGGGAACGATGTTTGATTTGAATGCAACTACAACTTTTCTATATTTATCACAATGTGTATAGATTATAACACTACTAAACGCTAAACCTCCACAGTTGAAATTTAGATATAGTTAGAAAAATATATGTTGCAATTCTGAAGTTAACATAGGCATTCATTAATTTGTTTGGTGGATGGTTGTGATCTGTCTTTAACTGTAAAGTAGGAATAAGTTGTTTTTTTAGTGCGGTTATAAAAGTAGTCGTCTCTGGTTACACTAGTTTTCATACTTTTCATCGGATTTAGTATTTTGTTTATACTACTCATTTTATTGTTTGCAGTGAATATTAAGGATATTGATGGGAGACTCGTGTAAACTCCTAAATATTGTTATCTATATGATTTTCTTAATGTGTGTATAGGAGCTTTGTTGTGCGCGGCGGAAGCCAAACAACTGATATACTTCGAGAAACCAAACCAATCGCCGAGAGAGAAGGCCACAAACAATTCACAATAACGGCAAAAACACAAACAATCAATTTTAACGTGGTTCGGCAAGTTGCTTACGTCCACGGGGTAAGAAGGGGATGATGTTTTCACTAATAGAGAAGAATAGTACAAACTGAGATTACAAATCACTCAAACTCACAAATTAATCTCACCAACAAATCTCTAATTCTCTCCAAATAAAACTCTAACCAATAACTCAGAAAATACCTCTTTTCTGTGCTGCAAATATCCCCAATTCGCTGCTCAATTTTCTTTTCCAATCGTTCCATACATATAGAAATCCTAAAACCAAAAACATACTAGGAATTCTAAAGCAAAAAACAAAACAGATTAAGAATCCTAATAACCTGTTACCAAAACAGATTTGGAATCCTGTTACCAAAACAGATTAGGAATCAGAGCTTGGGCTACGCTTGAGCTAATTGGAGCAGTATATCATTTTGTAAGTTCGTCTAGGACTTCAGTTGGTGATAAAGGTGAGATTTTTCCTATTTGTGGATCTCGTTTCCGCCGCGCATAAGAAGCTCAAGGCTACCGATCAATCTTCTCTTAGACTAGCCAATCAGATTTCAATATGTTAATAACATAACTTTTGGAAAACTGTGTTATTGTTGTTAAATAGTAAGCAGAGGTAGAGAGAGGATGGGGATTGAGTGTTGATATTTTTCGGGGATTTAAAAAAAAATTTGTAGAATCATGCGGGGTTCAAAATGTTGAGGATCAGAAAAGAGTGGAGGAGGAGAGAGCAGGGTGGGGATAATATTACGAATGCAAACTGGCCACAAGGGTGATATGTGTGTGGGATTAAATCTTATCTTGGATTTTTTTTGTGCTCCATATAGTTAGTATTCTAACCAATTGCAATATTATCGCGTTATTCAATTCATACTTTTGCATAATGGCTTTTTCTAGTAGAGAGATGAATCCGCTGTACCAGGAGACGGCTCATAATTAGCTTTGATCTTGTCTTTCCTTGATATGATGTTGTAGGCTGATTAAGATCAGATCTTTAGATTATTGTTTGATATTGTTGGGCGTATATTAACAACAATACCTTTTTTATTTTTTGTTATATTAACTTACGCCTCGTTTGGTACGCAAGAATGAGTGGGAATGGATACAATTCCAACTTCTCATTTACCACAGTAATATGAACCTAACCTGCATGAGAGGTGTTGACATATTAGTATTATTAGGGACTTATTTGTAAGATTTGTAGGGGCCTATATAAAGCCCAGAGTATCATAATGAATTAGGGTTTTCATTTCTTCATGTATCAGAGCCGGCTGCTTCCACCCTCTTCTCTCCTCACGCCGCCGCCCGCGAAGCCTGCGCCTCCGCCCCTTCGCCGGCCGCCCAGCCAAGAAACACCCAACCGCCACTCGTCGCTGACACTCAATCCTCTCCTCTGCCAGGTGATTCCCTAACCTCGACACCCCCTGACCCCGCCTGACACGACCGATCCGCCTGACAGGTGGAACCGACCCCCCCACTTGACCGGCGAAACCCCCTTGAAACTCCCCCTGACCAGCCGACAGACACCGCCCGGCCCCTGTTTTCCGATCCCAACGGCAGGGTCCCCCCCCCTGTTTTGTTTTTTTCCGATCGCCAAACAGCCCCCCAGCTGTTTTTCGGCGATCCCGGCGGGCCAAAACAGCCCCCCCCCATCAGACCTTTGCCGGAGAACTTCGATTCCCCCCGCTGAACCTAAGCGAGCCCCCCCGCTGTCCAGCGAACCCCCCTGAAAAACCCTCCCTGACCAAGCGACAGCCCCCCCCTGTTTTTCAAGATCCGCAACAAGGCCGCCCCCCTGTTTTTTGTTTTTTTTCCGATCCAAACAGCGCCCCCCTGTTTTTTCCGATCCCAAACGAGCCCCCCCCCCTCAGAACGCTTTTGCCAGCGGCTTGCTGCGCCTAAATGCTGGACCCTCGAGTTTGGCATGGTTCGCACTTGACTCCAGTCCTCGGAACTGATGACAGGGAAGAGTTTATTCCCACCATCGATGAGATCATATACACTGGTTCTTGATTCTTGTTTCCTCTGAGATAACGAGAATTTTGGTATTT